ACTTCGAGGCGAATGCCGGAGCAGCACCTTGGATACCTGGCCACAGACCGCGGGCGACCGTTCCTGCCTTATTCCGATCTCATTCCCATTTGAGGACCAATCATTCATACTTGTACGGCCCATTCCAATTGATTTAGAAAATCTCCGACAAGAAACACAAAGGAAATTGTGCGACTGTTCTCGTATACATACCCTAGAAGATGAAGTAAGAGAAATATGGCTTCCTTATTTATCCGGTTTCATTGATTTCCTCTCTTTCAATCTATACTTATTGTCCGAGTTTACTTTCTACCAACCATTTCAAATTTCTAATCATATTTAATAATACTATTCTACCCAGAGAAGTTTCCAATTCTCAATCGTATTTACAGGCCAACCTAGCTTTAAACTTACTACTAAACCTATGTGCAATTAAGTTACCTGCGCCAATGCATTGTTCCGCGAATCTGTAGTTTCACAATAAGATTGTGGTTCCCCAACAAAAGAATTCAGGAATAATATGAAGGATGTAGCTTAAAAAGCTTTATACGTTTTTTGAAATACGGGTTTAAATTGACCTAGGAATTCACTATATCGTACAATATCGTATACTGCATAAACTATACCGTACATTGCATTTTCCTTGTGACTTCAATAGGGCAGAAAACAACAAAAATTTCTAACAGTATGCTGGATAAATTGGGTAAGGATATTAAAGCGAGAGAAATCCGTATCTCGATGAAGAAGAGTTGAGAATGATTGTAAGAAGTAAATTCAAGGCGTCCATGCTCTTGAAAGAACTCTTGAGTCTGATGCAGAAAAGTGAATGAGAAACTAAAATGGAGAACCTCAACCAATGCTCTCTTGCCCTCTAGGCAGTTCGATCACTGTCGACGTAAGGACAAAAGACGATCGATGTTTATTTTTTCTTTGAAAATAATCATTTCCATTACTTTGTATTCAAAAGTGGGACGCTATTCACTTCTCCATAGGCGAAGAAAGCAACAATCGGTACAAAGAGTGGAAGGAAAGTCTGTGGCGTGAAATAAACGAGTTTTTTTCCTCAAACTGTTCAGGACTTCCTCGCAATTTTTCTTTAACTGTAAATCAATAGTTCGAGTGCCTAATGCATCGGATCTCTAGATTTCTTTCCAAGAATTAGCTTCCCTTACATTACATTTACGTGCCTTTGAAATGCGTGTGAATTCTCCATGGAACATTGACCTTCAGAGAACTGGGAGTTCTAGGATACATATCTAATGCGAGTCATTGGCACTGAACTTAAGATACCCCGGGGGGGTGCGAGTCTTACTGCAACGAAACGGCTGGAAGAGAGATATTGTAGGCACGAAAAATCCCTTTCACTTGAGAAAATCATAAGTTAAAAGTAGGTAGATTTCATCAATAAAAAGGCGCATAATTTAACCGAAGTTGATTATCCAACTTCTTTTATGACATACGGAGAGGTACTCACATTAAAAAATACATTGAACATTATTGCTTCAAAATATTTTATAAATATTGTCATCAAAAGAATCAGATTTACTTATGCATGTTACTTAGTACCCAACGGCTGAATGAACAAGAACCATTCTTCAAATCTGAGAATATTTGGAGAATAATTGTGTCACAGAAGCAAGAGGAATGTTAAGCTAAAAGAAATGTTGGATGGTATGGAAGATGGTATTTAAAGAATCAGATATTTAGAAATAATTGTTTGGATCCACGAGTGAATATAATTGCAATGAAATTATTACTTTCCCTTATAAATGTTATTTCATGGTTGTTAATTTTTTTCCGAGATCAAAAGCTCTCACAATTCTGAAGAAAATATATGAATGCATTGATCTGACGCATGTACCAAAATACTTTTATGCGTTCCCATAAAATGGGCAAGGGCTCTAATAAAACAAATCGGATCAAACCTACCATTTACTATTTTTCGAAATAAACAAGCCAAAACTTACTGTTTAAAAATATTTACTACAGTTGACATATATTTTTCTAATTTATAAGGTTAGTTTCACACGGAGACAGCAAATTTTTTAGCCGAAAATACATTTTCCCACTTAAATATTTACTCATTAATTTATTTTATTTCTAAATAAATATTTAATTTAAGAAATGTTCTAAAATAAAATTTTGGGCAATAAATCACGTGATCAAATAAAAACCTTTTGAACTCCTATTTTTTTCCTTTTCTTTTTCCAATCTTTGATTATTTGGCTGGTCAGGATAGCCGAGATCGCTAAGGCAGAAGACCGCGGGTCATGGGTGTATTTGTATATATCTATTGTGTGTGTCGTCATTTCATCCCTCATTATCGTCATCTCATCGTCCATACCCCCAGGGCTGACAACCTTGGGGGATAAAAAATCGGAGGATAAAAAATAGGGATTCAGCTAAAATGCTGATCCCCCCAGATAACGATTCTCGCACCTGCTGAAGAAGGACGCACGCGTTGCCCAAGTTGGCCTACACGCGAAAACAAAATTGCTTATTTAATAATTCGCTTGAGTTCAAATAAAAATGTCCTTTCTCACTACGAAACAACCCAGGAGTGCATCTCCCTTTGCATCAGCGAACCTCCAAAGATTCTCTTAAAAGGAAAATGTGGTGTTGTGCAAGGAAACCCCGTGCGTGCGGAGAGCGCGTGCGTTCCCGTGCGCGAGCGTGGGTCGTAATCGTGGCGTGCGTTCGAGTGCGCCGCGGGCAGCGCTGCGGCGGAGCCTTTGACCACCCAACCACCCGACCACCCGACCATCCGACCACCCGACCATCCGACCATCCGACCACCCGACTACCCGACCACCTGACCACCTGACCACTCGCTGATTGGGCCGTGCGTCATATTCGCTCGTTTAATTAAGCAGAAACGGATCTCAATTATTTCATTGCAATGCGCTTGTTATCAATATAGCCCAGAAGTTCAGGCATCTATTTTACATAAAATAAGGATGCAAAAGCATTCATTTTTTACTATATATCACTAAAATCATACACATTTTTGTTCTAAATCTAAAATTTACCTTAGCGCTTAATCTGTAACGAAACGATATGTTCTGTGTAATCTTAATTCCACATTACCATCCTGTATGATGGCTACGAATTTGCTTTACTCGCGAGGCTTCGAAATGCTATTGTGGACTCCATTTTGAATCTTGAAATTACAATAGTGAAAATGAAATGATATACTTCGTTCTTTCCAATTGCGATATCTCCAACACTGGGAAGGGTATACATCATATACAGAGAACTGTTCTCAAAAGGAATCGGAGGCCATACTCAAAAGTAGGATGGGATTTTTTTTATTAGCGAACTAAGCCTGTCGGCATCAATGACAAATTTAAAAAATTCTTGTCTGATACGATGTTGTTGTTTTGGTGGCGTGACTATCGTATAACAATAGACACGAATCCTCAACAAAAGTTTCTTTGTGGAGTAGGGAAAGAAATACTCGTATCTGCCTTAAATTAATTTATCATTATTTTTATTTATATATCACTGTATCTTATTTCATATTCTTTTTTAATAATCATTATATTTTTATATTTATTATTTTTATTAACCTATAATTTTAGTTTTTATCATGCAGCTTTCGAATTGTAGTTTTCATCTTTTTTCCTTTATTGAGTCCACTGGTTCTTAGATAGACTGCCCATTTATGTATTTTACAATATGTTTAAGCTGTTTAAATTACACAGAGAACTGTATTTAAAATGGCTTAGTGACAAAAGAACCGCAACTTATTTACAGTACAAAGCAATAAGTAGAGAAGTAAAACAAGAAGTATTATCTATGAAGAATAAATTATGGCTGGATAAATGCGATTATATAGAACAATTCATAGGTGGAGCACGGAGCTCAGCGCACGAGACGGGAGCCGCGAGACGGGAAGCCCGCGAGACCGGGACCGCGAGACGCGGAGCCGCGAGACGCGGAGCGCGAGACGGGCACAGCGCTGAGACGGGAGCGCGAGAGCGGGAGCGCGAGACGGGAGCGCGAGACGGGAGCGCGAGAGCGGGAAGCGCGAGACGGCGAGGACGAGACGGGGCGAGACGAGAGCGCGAGACGAGAGCGCGAGACGGAGCGGCGAGACGAGAAGAGCGAGAACGAGAGCGCGAGACTGCGGAGGCGCGAGACGGGAGCGCGGAGACGGGAGCGCGAGACCGGGGAGCGTGAGACGGGAGATACAATGCGGACGTGTTGGCGTGCTAGAAGAAAGGGAGATGGAGCGCGAGGCAGGGGGGATACGAAGCGGAGACGTGAGCGCAGGATGTGAGCGGAAATGTAACCGCAGTAGTTTTCGAGTAGTGGCGTGCGAGTAACGGTAAGCCCGAATGCAAGGTCTGAGTGCGGCGTTACGTACGCGAGATGCGAGACACGGACGAAATCGGTGTGACAGTACGTGAGCGTGGCGCCGTGAGCGCCCGTGGTGCGAACGTGTGGCGTGTCGAGTGTGCGGCGTCGCGAAGTGTGCGCGATGCGAGTGTGCGCGTGCGAGTGTGCGCGTGTCGACGTGTGCGCCGTCGCGAGTGTGCTGCACCGTGGGTGTGCGCGTGCGAGGTGCGCAGTCGCGAGTGTGCGCGCTGCGAGTGTGGCGCGTGGCGAGTGTGCGCGTAGCGAGTGTGCGCGTGCGAGTGTGTCGCGATGAAGAGTGTGCGCGTTTCGCGAGTGTGCGCGTATCGCGAGTTGTGCGTCAGTGCTGAGTGTGCGCGTGCGAGTTGTGCCGCGTGGCGATGTGCGCGTGCCGAGTGTGCCGCGTCGCGAGCCTGGCGCCGTGCGCGCCAGTGGTTGCTGCGTGCGAGT